CATATGATTTTTTAAAAGATATTTAAAAACATACAAGCCTCATGCAAATCCATCCACCTCTACTTGCCTACAACTGGAGGAACCATTCAAAGAGGCCATTTCACAGGTCACTGATAGGATCTTCATTTTCACGGACAGTATGTTTTGCATCCTCACCTGCCTTCTGAGTTCACAATTTTATATCATAACTACATACCAAAGAGTCTAGAGTTGCCTTCTGTTGTACTAGAAAATCCCTGGTACAACATATTTCAGACTGCAATTTACTCTGACTATGGACAATTCATCCCACCACCCCACTTTCCCCTCTTGATATCCATACATTTTTCTCTATGTCTCTATCTCTGTTTTGCAAGTAGGATCATCTATACCATTTCTTTACATTCCACATATATGCATTAATATACAATGTTTGTGTTTCTCTTTCTGACTTTACTCTGTATAAGTCTCTAGGTCCATCCATGTCTCTACAAATGACCCAATTTTGTTCCCTTTTATGGCTGTTGTTGTTTAGTCACTAAATCGTATCTGACTCTTTGTGACTCCACGGACTATAGCATGCCAGGCTTTCTTGTTCTCCACTGTCTCCCTGAGTTTGTCTCCCTGAGTTTGTGCATTGAGTCACTCATGCAATCTAACTGTCTCATCCTCTGCCACCTTCTGCTGCTGCCCTCAATCTTTTCCAGATGAAGGAAAGCATCAGCATGGTCTTTTCCAATGAGTTGGCTCTTCACATCAAGTTGCCAAAGTATTGGAGCTTCAGCATCAGTCCTTCCAATGAATATTCAAGGTTGATTTCCTTTCGGACTGATGGGTCTGATCTCAAGAGTCTTCTCCAGCACAATAATTCGAAAGCATCAATTCTTTGGTGCTCAGCCTTCTTTATGGTCCAACTCTGACATCTGTACATGACTACTGTAAAGTGCATAGCTGTGACTATATGGACCTTTGTTGGCAAAGTGCTGTCTGTGCTTTTTATGGCTTAATAACATTAAACTGTATATATGTACCACATCTTTGGGACTTCCCAGGTGGCACTAATGGTAAAGAATCCACTTGCCAATGCAAGAGACATGGGTTCAATCCCTGGGTCGGGATGATCCCTTGGAGGAGGGCACAGTAACCCACTCCAGTATTCTTGCCTGGAGAATCCCATGGACAGAGGAGCCTGGCAGACTACAGTCCATAGGACTGCAAACAGTTGGACACAACTGAAGTGACTTAGCCCGCATGCACACACACATCTTTAGCCACTCATTTGTTGATGAACATTTAGGTTGCTTCCATGTCTTGGCTATGGCAAACAGTGCTGCAACAAACATTGGGGTGAATATGTGTTTTTGAATTATGGCTTTCTCTGGGTATATGTGGTATAGTCACTTTAGAAGACAGCCTGGTGTCTCAGATAGGTAAATAATCTGCCTGCAATGCGGGAGACCTGGGTTTAATCCCAGGGTTGGGAAGATCCAATGAAGGAGGGCATGGCAACCCACTCCAGTATTTTTGCCTGGAAAATCCCCATGGACAGAGAAGTCTGGCAGGCTACAGTCCATGGGGTCACAAAGAGCCATATATGACTGAGCGACTAAGCACAGGGAAGTTTGTGGTAAGGCGAGATTTACCATGTGACCAAGAAATTATACACCTAGGTATTTACCTAAGTGGACTGAAAACTTATGTCTTTACAAAAACCTGTATATAAGTATTTACCGCAGCTTTATACTCACCAAAAACTAAATGCAACCAAGATGTCCTTCAACAGGTGAATGGGCAAACTGTGGTACATCTAGACAATGGAATATTATTATAAAGAAATGAGTTATCAACCCATGGAAAAACATACAGGACCTCCAATGCACATTGCTAAGTGAAATAAGCCAGTCTGTAAAGGTTATATACTGTATGATTCCAGTTATATGACATTCTAGAAAAAGGCAAAGCTCTTGAGATGATAAACAGATTTATGGTTGTGCTAAGAGAGAATGGATTATGGTTGAGGAAAGACAGTGGCTGAGTACCAAAGGGGTGTACAGGAGAAATTTCATGGTGATAGAACTGTTTTGTATGCTACTTGGGCAGTAGACACATGACTGTATGCATTTGTAAAAATCCATATGAAAACATATCACAAGGAATAAACTTTAATGTATACAAGCAAAAGGACAAAGCAAAATATCAACCAGGTTAGTGGGAGATGCCAGGATGGAATGTAGACTGTGACAAATGAATGTCTCTACATTATAAATGTGTGTAAAAACTGCACCGAATGGAGGGGTAATAAAGGAGTTATGTGAGTAACTTTTAACAAATGGTATTTTGACAGACACTATAAGGTAAAGCCAAAAGAAGAAAAACAAACACTGGATTGTAATTGGTAAAGTTGTTTCTCAAGGAGTAAGGATCAACAATTCTGGTTGTTGTGCTATATACATGTATAGTACCAGAACTGAGCAAGTAAGCAAATAGTTGATGGATGGTAGGTTTCTCACTGTCAGAGACAGAAGTTAAAGATCAATAAGAAAAGAATACTATGCCTCCAGCTGTGATCTACTGCCAAAAGGCTTATTAAGTATGAACTCATGTTTAGGTTAATATAGATGCTGATGAATAGATACAGAAATAATTATAGATACATACGTGTATATGGTTTAAAGTACATCTATATACTTCCTATTTCGTAGGTCTGCCCAGTTTAAGGGTTTAGAAGTAGCGTCATCCCACTAAAGAATATACTCAACATCCAGATCTTGGTTTCTAATTCTCTTCCCCAGTGGGAAGAGGATGATATACTGAACTGGAAGCCCAAGGAAACAGACCCAGCAGGCAGCAGTATTCAGGAAGAAGAAGTGAATGAGACCAAGAAGGACCCAATGAGAGCCAGGAAGGACCCAGAGATAAAGAATGTGGAGAATGAGGTGGTTAGCAAAGTATGCTACAGAGGTCACATGGGGCAGAGGGCTGTGACCACCAAGAAGTAGTCACTGGAGATGAAAGAGCAGCTCTGGGGAAATGGGAGTAGAGGCTTGCATACGCTGAGGAACAGACCACAGAGGGGACAATGAAGAGATGAAGTCAGTGAAAATACTAGGAAGAGGCTGATGGCACCAGGGCTGATGGGACCTGTTGATGAGAGATTCTCCGTGTTTTCCCTATAGGGCCATTAAAAATGTTTTCTTGAGAAAAAAATATATGACAGATAACATACTACTTCAGAAATACACTCCAAAATGATGGTTGAGTCTAAGTGCTAAAACTCAAGGTTAGAAAATTCATTAATTAGGATTGTTTTATATTGAAGATCAACATTTATTTAAACGTAATGTTTTATCTTCATACATGGCATTAGCATGTTTGCATAGAGGAGGGTGTATGAGAATTTCATCATGTTCTTATCATAACCTATGTTTCAGTTTCACACTCATATTTTTTTGCCCAGACTCTATTTTCTTTTGTCTGACACCTATAATGACAGAAGGTATAACTTATGCTAACAATTGATTATTCTTTACAAGAGAAGTTCAAATATGAGCCTAATTAAAGAATTTCCTAACATTTCTTCCTTGCTAATAAGGAAATCCCCTGACATGTCACTCAGACTTTCATTTGTGTGCATGCTTACACACTCTGCTACTGCTCTCTTCTCACCATCTGGAAATACCATTTGTCACTGGGAGTAATTGGCTAATTTGCTGGGTTTGCCCTTTAAATGTTCCATGTTCTCCTGACGCCTGTGAGTTTCATTTAGAGGTTTTCAGAGCTTTTTATTCAAAATGGAACTGTTTGGAAAGGTGTTCTGAAGGACTGATTTGACTACAGTATCCTTTAATCAGAAGACAACACTGTTCCCACATGAAAGGCACACAGCCTGAACTATGGGGAATGTAGCAGGCTGACACTAGATATACTCATGACATGTTACACTCAGAATTTGTTATACTCACAACCACAGTCTCAACTACAACAGGGAATCACCACAAAATGCTACAGCTACAACTTAGCATCACAACATGTTACCATCACAATTACAACTGTAAAAATTTCCATCATTAATGATGAGTTATAACATATCACCAGAACAAGTTACAACCACAAGTAATTTTGCCACATCAAGTCTGGCTAACACTGTCTCCATACTAGGATCAGATCTTGACAACATATTAAGATTAAAGGTCTAAATCTTTGCATGACTTGGAGGCAATGAAAAGTATTTGGCCTTGGAGGAGGGTGTCCCTATGAAGGGCTGACAGGAGGTGGTTTCTCTGTGGTGATAGAACAGTTCTGTGTCCTGACTGTAGTTGCAGTCACTCAAATCTACACGTGATAAAATGTCATCGACCCACAAGTGCATGTGTACACACACACACAACACACACACACGAGTATATACAAAATCTGATGAAATCTGAGTAAGGTCTATATATTACTTAATAATAGCAATGTACCAGTGTCAGCTTCCTGGTTTTGACAACATAACTATAGTTTTAAGATATCAGGAGAAGCTGGGTGAAGGGTACACAGGAATTTTCCTGAACAATTTATTTATTTAGTTAGTTTTACAACTTCTTATGAGCCTTAAACTATTTCAAAATCAAAAGATATTTTAAAAGATATTTGACTTGCTATAGGTGTCTTAAAAATAATTCTTCTCAAGATGAGATTCGCTCCTCCCATCCCAAGAGTGACAGGCTCCCCAGGTTGGGAAGGCTGTGCCCAACAAGTCCCCAGACCTCAGGTACAATAACTGGTGCCAACTGGCAAATGGCATCTGCTAGTAATGGACACATTATCCTGTGCAGTGCCGTGGCTTAAGGAACATCAGGGGAAATATGTGGCTTTTCCAAAGAGTCTTGTAAACCCCCCCACCCACCCACCGAGCTGCACAGCCTACATCATTCCAAGTGAAGCCCCAGAGGCTGGGAGAGATCCACTCTCCAAACCTTGCTGCTGTGTAATCCTGTCTTTAGTGAGAATAAGGCATTTGGACAAATCAATGCTCCTACCTTTACCCTTGTCAGGTTTGTAGTCACCACCCCCTACTAGGTCTTCAAGATCCTTGTCTGAAAAACCTGGAGAAAACGAAACACACATCTCAGTGCCCAAAAACATTTCTCAGTGACAAGCAATCTGTTATTTAATGTTGTCTAACATCTCCAGAAAGTGATTGACACTGAACAGGGGCTGTGATGAATGCGGTAGGCAAGACTCTCAAGGGGCCCCCAGAATCCCTCCCCCACAGTGTATACACCCCAGCATCCCCTGACTTTGAGTGCAGGGGGACCGTGCATGGGATGGCTTCACCCCGTGATTAGCTGATATTATATGCTGAGGTGAAGGGACTCCACAGTAACCAGATCAGTTTGACTTCACATTAATCAAAAGGGAGACTTTCCTGGGGGGCTTGAACTTAATCAAGTGAGGCCTTCAAAATACAGCTGACCCCTTCCTGAGGTGATGCACTAGAAGCAATAGACTCAGTCTTCCCCACCTCCACCCCTGCCCCGTTTCCCTTCTCTCCCTGTTTCATCTCTGTTTTCCCCCTGGTGGCTTTAAAGAAGCAAGCAACCATTCATTCTAGAACTGCAAGGATAATGGTTCTCTCCCAACAAGCACACAAGCTTGGATGACAACCCAAACTCAGCCAAGACCCCAGACCTAAATGACACTATGACTGCAGCTGCCTGAGGCCCTGAAGAGAAAACTGAGCTTAGCTGTTGCTGAACTTCTCACCAAAGGAAACCATTTGTGATAATCTGTCATGTGACAAAAGAAAACTAATACAAGGAAACCAAAAAAGTTATTTTATTATAGCTCAACCATTGAGTACACATCTTTTTACATTCTGTGTGATGAAATGGGAAGCATGCTTAAAGCATTTCTGTTCCACTCCAAAGTCCTATAGTTGTCTCAAAAAAGCACATGTGTGACTGTTTCAATTTTGCCTTGTATTAGCTACTTTCTGTCATGGAAGATCACTTTTACCAGAAAGAACGAACGATGTGCTAACTATGGTTATGGTGACTTGAGTATTTGGCAGATGTTTTCTTGAAAATGAATAAAATGGGGCTGTCCCTTTAAAGAACACCACTGGAAATATTTGTTGCCAGTGATAAAATTTCAAACAAAAAAGAGAATTTTGAAAAATCTATATCTACCACTGTGAGTTTAACAGCTTTCCAATATGTAAAGATTTTTTCTAATGAGATGGGTGGTGATATTAACAAATGTGAATTTCGGGCACTGCATAATGAAATAAGGCTTTATTTGAAGCTCAAAAGACCTCAGAACATCAATATTTTCCAAATGACCAAAGTGTAATGCACAAAATGGGTAAAAGTTCCATTAAAAAGTACTAGAGAGTCCCTGTGGAATTTAATAAAATTGAGTTTGGAAAATTCATTGCTATGGTTTCATATTATACACTGCACTTAACCTGTAAGAAACAACCAGTGGCCAAGTTTGGGTGTCTTATCAAAAAAATGATACTAATCAGTGATCTGAAAAGTCTATTAAAATATTCTTCCCCTTACAACATCATACCTATTATGAGGCCAGATCTCCTTCAGATACACAACCATAACAACATATCACAAGTGAGTCAATCAGGAAATGTGAGAGTCTAGCTCTTCTACTAAGATACACATTATAGAAATCTGCAAAAGCGTACAATGATGCCACTTTTCCTAAGTTGTCTTTTTATCTTGCCATAGTTATTTCTCATAAAATGTGCTATTTATGTTAACATGTGTGTTTATTGTTGTTCATGTTTAGTTAATTTTTCTAGTTTTAGGTTTAATATAAGATGATAAGTATCAATAGATGTGACCTACATCTCAACAGAGATCCTCAATAACTTGGTGAGTCCTGAGACCAAAATGTTTGTCAGCCACTGCTGTCAGGTCCTGCTGGGCCTTGAAGTACCCCCAGCCCTGCCAGGCCAGGAGGAGTAGCTCTGTGGGCTATCATACTTAAGGAGCTACACCCGGACCAGGGAGCTACAGTGCTGGCCTGGGCCAACTTGGACTTACCTCCTCCTCCCACACTTGGCTTTTTGCGGTCATGATCACGATCATTTTGATCATCCAAGGCATCAGCCAAGTTAAAATCATCTTCTGCAGGGGGCCCTACGACATAAACGAGAAAGTCAGTTGGTTAAATCATAGGTCACTCATTTGGACACCACCCCACAACGAGCTCCACGGAATCTGTCTTTTGTGCCCTGCTCAGAACAGCCGTGTTACCTGCAGGCTTTGCTGGAGCTCTGGTTGCTCCGGGTCTCCTGGTTGTGGTGGTGACACGGTCCCATCTCTCTAAAAGGGAAAAGGGAGACAGTAAGAGGAGCACATTTAGCAACAACACACAGCAGCCATGGCATGGTCAGGAAGTCACAGCATGAGCTCAGCACTCTTGGTCCTTGAGTTCCCTCCAAGGATGACCAAGAGATGGAGCAAGGTTCAGATGAAACGAATTCTGCTCGCTTTTCTTCAGAGGATGGGTGGTGAGATGGACGTGATCCCACATTTGATTAATCTGCTCATTAGTGGAGCTGGGACTTGAGCCCACGTCTACAGGAGATGACCACATGCTTCAGGAGGTCCAAGAGCTTGAGCACAACCCCTGAGAGCTCCAAGCCTTGGTTCCCACCACTCTTAACCTGATACCGTCATCACAGATAACACCACCCAGGGATGAAGTAACATTATGTTCCCAGTTGAGTATGGGAGTGTCTCATAAACTGAAAGTGGTTCTAACACCAACAAAATGTTTTATATAAGTGTGGTTACTGCTGTAATACTAGGTCTTTCAGCTCAACCATATTCCTTTAAAATTGTGGACTTGTTTTCACATCAATTACAAGACATGCCATGCATAATTTTACAATACTTTCTTTCCTTAAGCAACAAGACTATGCTGTTTAAAAACAGAATTAAAAAAAAGCCAGTCCAGGTTGGATGCATGAGACAAGTGCTCAGGGCTGGTACACTGGGATGACCCAGAGGGATAGGATGGGGAGGGAGGTGGGAGGGGGGTTCAGGATGGGGAACACATGTACACCCATGGCTGATTCATGTCAATGTATGGCAAAAACCACTACAATATTGTAAAGTAATTAGCCTCCAACTAATAAAAATAAATGATAAAAAAATAGAATAAAATTTAAATAATGAAACCAAAATGGAGACTATGCTGTAACTGTTCCTACAACTGAAGGTAATAGAGAGAAACGAAATTTAAGTAATGGGAAAGGCAGAGATGAAACAGGTTTAGCTTTATACACAGGAATCACTCAATCATTATTCGACTACTCAGAAAAAAAAAAAAAGCAATAATAGAACTAGTTGAAAGTAAAAGGATTGATAAAGATACACTATGCAAATAGCAAACTGAAGAGAGCTGTAAGAGTGATACCATTATCAAATAAAATAATCTTTAAGACAAAAATTGTTACAAGAGCCAAATAGTAACATTTTATAATGATGAAAGGATAAACACAGCAGTAAGACATAAAATTTTAAATATATGTGCACCTTACAATAGAGTCCCCAAAATATACAAAGCAAAACATGACAAAATTGAAGGGAACGTAAGACAGTTCAACAATAATAATTGGAGATCTCAATATAATCTTTCAATCATAGATAGAACAAAAAGGAAATACAAGATTTGAGCAATACTGTAAATCAACCAGATCTACCAGGCATCTATAGAACACATCCCCTCAAGCAGGAAATACATTCTACTCAATTGCACATGGGACATTCTCCAAGACAGACCACATGCTAGGCTTCAAAACACATCTCAATATATTTTAAGTCTGAAATCATACAAATTGTGTTCTCCAGCCACAATGGAATGAAAACAGAAATCATTAACAGAAGACCATTTGAAAAATTTCCAGTTATATGGAAATTACACAGTACACTTCTAATAACAATGGGTCAAAGAAGAACTCACAAAGGAAATCATAAAATACACTGAGATGAATGAAAATAAAAACATAACACACTAAAATTTACATCATATGAAAGTAAACCATTGACAAAATGAAAAGACAACTTACTGAATGAGAGAAAATATTCACAGATGATTTGATCAATAAGGGACTAACATACAAATATATAAACAGCTCACACAGCTCAACAACAGAACAACAAACAACCTGATTTAAAAATAGGCAGAAAAACTGAACAGACTTTTTTTTTCCAAAAGAGGAATGTAGATGGCCAATAGACACATGAAAAGAGACACATCACTAATCATCAGGCAAATGCCAATCAAAACCACAATGATTACCCTCACATCTGTCAGAATGACTATCATCAAAAAGACCACAAAAAATTGTTGGCAAGAATGTGAAGAAAAGGGAACCCATGTGCACTGCTGCTGGAATGTAAATTGGGGCAGCCGCTAAGGAAAATAGTATGGAGGCTTCTCAAAAATCTAAAAATAGAACTACTATATGATCCAGCAATTTCACTCCTGTGTGTATTTCAAAAAGAAAAACCCAAAACACTAATCCAAAAAAATACATGCACAGCAATGTTCATAGCTGCATTATTTACAATAGCTAAAGATATGGAAACCATAAAAAAAGAATGAAATTTTGCCATTTGTAACAACACAGAAGGACTTAGATGGTATTATGCTAAGTGTAGTAAGTCAGATAGACAAATACTGTATCACTTACATGTGGAATCTAAAAAATAGAACTAGTGAATATTAAAAAAAAAAAAAAAGAAACAGACTCACAGAGAACAAACTAGTAGTTACCAGGGGGAGAGGGAAGGGGGAGGAAAAAGATAGGGGTAGGGGATTAAGAGGGACAAACTGTTATGTATAAAATAAGCTACAAGGATATATTGTACAACACATGGAATATAGCCAATATTATATAACAACTATAAATGGAGTATAACCTTTAAAATTTGTGAACCACTAAATTGTACACCTGTAACTTACATAATATTGTACATCAACTATACTTCAATTTAAAAATGGGCAAAGGACTTATGACATTTCTCCAAAGAAAACATACAAATGGCCATCTAGTACATGAAAAGATCCCCACATCACTAATTATCAGGGAAATGCAAATCAAAACCACAATGAGACATCATCTCATATCTGTTGGGAAGACAACTATCGAAAAAAAAGATAAATGTGTTGATGAGGATGTGGAGAAAAAGGAACTCCTTGTACACTGTCAGTGGGAATGTAAAAGGTGCAACCACTATGGAAAACAGTATGGAGATTTCTCAAAAAAATTAAAATTAGCCCTAACAAAAAATAAACAACCCAATCGAAAAAGGGTAGAAGATCTAAACAGATGTTTCTACTTCTGGATATATATCCAAAAGAATGGAAATCAGGATCTCAAAGAGGTTCTCCCTTGGGAAGGCGTTGGGTACACTTCAATGTGAAGTTTAATGCCTACTTAAATGTGAAGGCCAAATTAGTAGATGGATTTTTACGTAAGGGAACCACAAGTGATACATGCTGTCATTGTGTATTTAAAAAAAAAAAAAAACTCTACATCATCAGTTTAGAGATAGTTTTATATCTATATTTTCCATTTGACTTTGTACCTGTAAAATGAAGAAGTACAAAATAGATAACCAACAAGGACCTACTGTATAGCACAGGGAACTCAATATTCTATAGTAACCTAAATGGGAAAATAATTTGAAAAATAATGGATATTTATATGGGTATAAGTGAATCACTTTACTGTACACCTATAACTAACATCATTATTAATCAACTATCCTCCAATATGAAATACAAATTTTAAAAAATGAAGAAATACAGCTTACCTGTCTAAATGAGGCTCCTTATGTTTATCTTGTATTATGGTGATATGTATAGTTAGGAATACAGCTTCCCAGGTGGTGCTAGTGGTAAAGAACCCTCCTGCCAATGCAGGAGACATAACAGATGCAGGTTTGACCCCAGGGTCAGGAAGATCCCCTGGAGTAGGAAATGGCAACCCACTCCAGGATTATTTCCATGACAGAGGAGCCCGGCAGGCTACAGTTCATAAGGTTGCAAAGAGTCAGACACCACTGAAGCCAACTTAGCACACACATAGTTAGGAAAGAGAAATGACATTACCGAAACCACTATTTGTGCAATATTCAGAAAAGCAATTGTGACTTACGTATTATTAGCTTAAAATCCATATGATTCATACAGCTATTGTGTAAAAAATATTTGTTCCAGCTTGAAAAAAACATAGATGTTAAGGGTTTATTTGGGACTCTAATTTCTGTTCAATTGATCTACATGTCTATCCTTAAGCTGTGCCATAGTGTTGTGATCATGACGACTTTGTGGAACTCTACCCTGCTACTCCCAGTTTCTGGAGGAGCCTGGTTTCTCTGAAGAACTACAGGTGCCAGTTCAAGAGTATGTGTTCCTTGTATGTCTAGGGAACCAGCTGCTCTGTCAGGGCCTGAGCCTGCGGTGATGCAGAGCATGATGTTGGATTTGTGTACTTTTTAAGACACCATTAACTTCAGATTTTCTTCTCATGAGCTTTTAAATGGGATTTATTCTCATCAACAATTGAGATGAGCAAAGTCTAGCTACTTATCAAGGAATTAGAAGAGTAAGCCAAGGTCATCAAAGCAGTGAGCTCCTAAAATAAAGTCAGCTGTTTCTGTGAAGCCTCACTCAAAATGACAAACTTAACAAGGATTCTCTGATGCTCAGTGAATGTGGCCAGCAACAGCACACTCCTGCTGGGAGCGCTTCTTTGTAAGGTGTGCCCCAACCAAACAGTCAATCAGCTGGGCCACTTCCCCTGGGTGTGGCTCCATGACAGTGCCAATGGCATTCAGAGAAAATCGGGGCACTCATAAGAAGCTTGATTTGGCAAAAGAAAAAGTGGGTCCCCCTGTGAGATGATTGCACACACAGCGAAAAACGGAGAGATGAGGAAAGAGGGTGTGAAGGCAGGGGAGAGGAAAGGACAAAACTCTGAAACCAAAATGGTGAACCTTGAAAGTGTTACTCCAAGTGAAAGAAGCCAAATGTAAGTCTACACATTATATGACTCCACTGACATGTCCCAGAACAAGGAAATGCAGGGAGACAGGAAGGAGATTGGTGGTTGCCAGGGGCTCTAGGGGAGGGGAAGAATCAAGGAATCAGGAGGCACTAAGGGAAGAGAACAAGGTTTCTTCTAAGGTGATAGAAATGCTCTAAAATTGGCTATGGTGATGGATGCACAACTGTGTGAATACACCAGAAAACACCAAATTGTATGTTTTAAATAGGTGAGTTGTATGATATGGGAATTATCTCTAAA